TAAAAAAAATAAATAAATAATAATAATAATAACTAAAATCTTATAAATTCTGTCGTTTCCTGGCTCTTTTTACATTGAAATATTAAAATGCAAGTATGTTTGCAGATTTTTCCAGGTGCAATGGGGAGTAAATATGTTTGTAAATTATAAAAACAGTACTTAATAGATCATTTAATTGAAACTTAATTGTCTTTTAAGGCAAAAGGGGCCAAGAAACAACAGAAATTATAATTATTAAAACAATTATTAAGGTTTTAATTATAATGGAAAAGAATTATTATATCGGAGATCTTGTCCTTTTTTAATTTTTTTAAATTTGCCATTTAATACCCAATTTTGGCGTTATTTGCTTGTCCAGCGGTAAAAAATACATTAGAAAACATGGTTTTAGAAAACATATGCCGCACCCAATACGACACCTTGTTTTGGGGGAGAGCGGTAACTGTGTTATTTATTCATATTTATTAGTATCATTTCAATATCTTTGGTATATTTTCGATAATAGTACTTTGAAAACAGCTGTGCGCCCCTCAGGTTGGAAACCACGGCAGGAGATAATTCTCTGTTTTTCTTCCTTCTTCAAGACCTAACCGAGCATGCATATAATTGTACGAGTCGTTTACCGTATCGGCACCAGCGATATTTGAAAAGTCAACAATTGTGAATTCCCGCACATTTTTCTATGACCTTTCATATATTACTTACACGTATAAAGAAGGGGCAAAAACAATTAGAGAAAAAACAACTGCTATCACTCAATCCAGCACGATCACAATCACACGGAAGAAATTGTAATCTGTCCACTATCTTGAAAGCCTTTATAATTCTTGGCGTACATAAAAGTGTTTACTTTTCACTAAGACCTTTATCATATATTCATTATTGGGGTATCTTATTAGGGTAATCTATTGACATTTTTAATGTATTAAATGTTTAAATTTAAATTGTGTTTATTCAACAAATTAATTAACTTCCCGTAGGGCAAGTTATAGTAATCGCAAAAAAATCGAAAATGAAAATTTTTGCATTTCTCGACGTTTCAAAGGTTTCTGTATATTTTGGCATACCTTAGAAAAAATGGATGTATGTGTGTGTGTGTGTGTGTGTGTGTGTGCGTGTGTGTATGTATGTGCGGATACAAATTTTCGTCGATGATTTCGGGAACACTGATCAACCGATTTGAATAATTCAAAAAACATTCGATTCGTATTGATGAGGAGACGTGATTATTAGTTTTTGGCAAAGTCAGGTCTAGCCGTTCCGAAGATACGGGGCAAAAAGTGCCGAAAACGGTAACTCAGTTTTTAAGAGAACGGAGCGTCCGATTTTAATAATTCAAAAAACATTTTACTTGTATTGACAAGGTGAAGAATCGATCAAATTTTTATAAAGGCAGGTCAAGCGGTTTCGGAGATCTGATGAAAAAAAAAAAATGCCATTTGGCGGTCAAAATTGATCATTAGACATATGCACATCAAATTATCAGATATTTTATAGAGATTTTAACAATAAGTATACATTTTGTTAACATTCCTTTGAGTTCCGTACCAATGCTTATGCGTTAGACAGCGACGCGGCGCTTATGCGCTTTATATTTTGTCCCTATGCAGTTAAAGCAGTACGATTGCTTTAAAAAAAAGTTCATATCTTCCACAATATGTTAAAATAAAGAAAAAAAAATTTTTTTCAAAAGGAAGTAATTTTTTGTCCAATTTATAGTTTCTCAAAAATCTTATTTTTTCAAAGTAAATTTTTTTCAAAAATGTTAATCGTTTTTAAAAATATAATAATTTTTGGTACGGGAAGTTCCAGCAATTTGCCTTAAGGCACAATGCCTTAATTGCCTTAAGACAGAATTCCACTTACAGCTAGTTTATATTTATTATTCACAACTTTCATATAACCCAGGATTATATTAATATATGGAGTTGACCCCAGCGTTTTAATAAATAACTTCTATTTTTACTTTAGTTTTTTATTTGACACTTTACACTTTAGTGTTTTATTTGACACAGTAAAAATTAATCAGACAAAATAATAGCCACTAAAATTGACACTAGCCTGGCTGAGTTCTGAACAGAAAATGAACTGAAATTTCGATCTCGTGTCGGCATTTAACAAAGGATTTTGGGACATTGCATCGAAATCAGTGAAACCGCTGATTTTGAAATTAATGCTTGAATAAAATATGCAGATATATAATTTGATTTGACAAAATACTAATGAAATGCCAGTTTGAAAATTATAGATCCTAGAATTTTCAAGAATTAAGAAACTAGATATATAATTTATATTTAAAAAATTTCAAATGATATAATATATTATATGATAATTTCAATTAACATAAAAAATTATGTTCATAAGCATATTGTTAATCTAATTGTTACAAAATAATTGTCACAATGAGTGATTCTAACGTACATTTAATATTATGAATTTGAAAATATTCATGGAAAATCGTATTCATCGAAAAAGTTTCCCAGACTGTATCTCAATATTTTGGTGACGTTGACAGTTGACAGGCGTATCGCGTATGCCATGATATTATCTGTCAAAAATATTAGAAAGTAAAGATAAGTAACAGGCGATATGTAAATAAATTTATATAGATTCATTTTATTTATATGTTTAATAATATGAATAGTTTAGGACTAAATATCATATTTAAAATGGGTTGTTTATGTTCGCGTGAAGTAGTTCATATTAATAATTGTAAATACAAGGTCCTCGATCGTCTCGGTGAAGGGGGCTTCAGTAATGTTGATTTAGTGCAAAATGAACACACCAAGAAAAAATACGCTTTGAAAAGAGTTAAGTGTCACAGTAAGGAAGATGAAAAAATTGCCATGAAAGAAATTGAGATTCATAGAAAAATTCATCATATCAATGTGATAGAGTTATTAGATTCTGATATTAAAGGACAGGCAGATATTGTGATAAATGCAGTCAGTGAAGTATATATGTTGCTTCCTTATTATCGACGAGGTACTCTACAACATCACTTAGATTTAAAAGGAATACGTAAAGATCATTGGAATGAACACGAACTGTTAACAATGTTCTTAGGTATCTGTGAAGGTGTCAGAGCATTTCATGAAGCAACCCCAGAGCCGCTGGCTCATCGAGATCTCAAGACAGCCAATATATGTCTTGAAGATGACATGACCCCTGTTATAATGGACCTTGGATCTGCAACAGAAGCCAGAGTGAAAATATGTGGTGTGCAGGATGCCCAAAAGTTACAGGAATTGGCCAGTGAAAGGTGTTCAATGCCGTATAAAGCCCCAGAGTTATTTAATGTCGAAAGTTACTGTATGGTCGATGAAAGAACTGATATATGGAGTTTGGGTTGCATTTTATATGCAATGTGTTTTTTTAAATCACCATTTGATATAATATATGAGCGTGGAGATAGTGTAGCTCTTGCTGTGATTAGTGGCAATATTACATTCCCAGAGGAAGGTCCTTATGATGGAGCAATACATGATTTGATTGCATTTATGCTAAAATTAAATCCGATGGAAAGACCTTACATTTACAGTGTTATTGAAAAAACTGTAGACTTATTGGCTCAATATGAAAATAAAGTTTAATATATTTGATGGATTTTTAATCATGTTGTTAATTTAATTTTTGCTTTGAATCTATAAAATTTTATGTTTTTGATGTTTTTTAGATTTTATTTTTAAAGTCTTTATACTGTACAAAATAATTTTAATTAAAATTTTTGCATCATTTGTATTTCGTTGATAATTGGGAAAAAAATATATCGATTGCAACTACAGTTAAAGTATGAAAACGACATTGAATATTCAATAGTAACATGAAACAAAGAAATTTCTAAACTAACTAAATACTATTTGGAAGAATTAAAAATTAAAATATTAGATCCAAGGATTCAGAAATTCGGCTAAATAATAGGTAAATGAAAATACGTTACATTATCAAATTGATGGTGCTAATGAATAGTTGAATATAAGTGGAAAAAATTAATTGCTGAAAATAAAGAGCAATTAGATTTTAAAGTATATAAAAAAATATAGTATAAATAATTTATCAACACATTATACACATTACACAATATATTATATAAAAATTAAAAATAATCATTAAAAAAACTTCACGCCTTGATTATCATCAAACATTATGAGTTCACATTTATTTTCAGATTCTAATTTTCTCAAAGCTTTAATTAGAACATTAGTATCAAGACCATAAAACTCCATATTTGTGGTATCTTCACCAGAAACAAGTTCAAACAAAGTTAAAACTGTGTTTACTTGTCCATTTTCTTGGGCCCAATCATATAAAATTGAAGCCCATTCTTCTAGTGTATGCCAATAGATCTCCCACCTATTTTTTAATTTATCTAAAGGAGCTGCATTTCCAGTTTTAGCAAGATCTTCTAGAATAAGAACTATTCCTTCTTGAGATAGTTTTCTATCAATTGCTGCATTATTGAATAAGGGAGAATTTAAAGATTCTCCCACATCTAATGTGCTCTGCTTTGTGGATTTGTAATATTCCAAAACTAAATTTCTCCATAGTGTGATTTGTCTAGATTTAGTCTCTTCATGAACTTGAATGCTAACAAAAATAAGATGGCTAATTAATATATAAGGTCCATATCGGATATACTTGACAATTATTATCACAACTACTGAAAATCAAGTACAGGTTGTTTTGAGTAAATATAAATCTTTTGCTATTCATATGAGGAAACTTACGTGAAGAACGGAGGAAAACTGTATTGCCACGGCCATTCTATTTCAGCCATTTTTCAATACACAGAAATTTATATATATAATAAATATATTATCATTTAATCGTAAAAGCTTTCGTCTACTCAATCATTGATCATTTTCATTTGACAGTTCTACACAACTATGTGTTCTGCTGTCAATGTCACATTCATATTCATAAATAAATCGTGGCAGATGGCAGCACTGAATATCAAAAGCAGCAACCGGCAGCAAACAGCATTCCGAGATGCGAACTTAACCAAGAAATACCTTGTGTAATATTGGCGTGAACATAACCTGCACAGTTAAATATTATTTATTCCAATATTGTTATTGATTGTTATGATTCGAAGAATATCCTATATTTGTTTAAATAAAGTATTAATTAAACAAAAATGTACGCTACGGATGTCACATAGAGTGTATTGTTCTGGATTGGGTTTATGGGTAACAAAATAAATGGGTGATTAAATATTTTGATATTTGGATGCAAACTATTATGATATTTTAGAAAGAAGATATATCTATAGATATCAAACATGCTATTGAGTCTCATTGGCGTACTAAATTATATAATCGCCCTTTCGACGATCATAATACTAAAGACAAGTACTATGTTTTGTCAATGTTTCCATATCCTTCTGGACAGCTTCACATGGGGCACGTTCGAGTATATACAATAAGTGATACAATGGCTCGTTTTTATAGGATGAATGGTAAAAATGTAAGCAAATCTCTTTCACGATCTAGCTTGTAGTTTCTACTGCGGCAAATATGATAATTTTCTTTAAAGTATTCTTATTGTTTAGATGCTTACGTTTTTCGTAGATATTCAAATTATTAGCTTAAACATGTTAATTGAAGCGTGACTAATTTTTATAGGTTCTTCATCCTATTGGTTGGGATGCTTTTGGCTTACCTGCAGAAAATGCTGCAATCGAACATAATGTTTCAGCAAAATCATGGACTGAAAGAAATATACAGAACATGAAGAAACAACTGTATCAGCTAAGTTGCTCTTTTGATTGGGATAGAGAAGTTACAACATGTAGCTCTGACTATTATAAATGGACACAATATTTATTTTTAATGCTTTTCAAAGAAGGACTAATCTATAGAAAATATGTAAGCACTTCATTAATGTTACAGAAATATAATAATATGCAAACATATATAAAGAAATCTAAAGATTATGTAAGTGTGTTTATTCATATTACTTAATATAGGCATTGGTCAACTGGGATCCAGTTGATAATACAGTACTTGCAGATGAGCAGGTAGATGACAATGGTTGCTCTTGGCGATCCGGAGCAAAGGTATTAAAATGCACAAAATTTGAAACATTGGATTGGTGAGAAACATGTGATGGTCATACAATAGATTTTGAATTAGTAAATGCATCCAATATTAAATCTTTGACTGTATGGACAAAACATATAGAAAAAATAGATGAAGCGACATTTATTGCAGTTACTCCAAATTCCATTTTCCACCAGATGGAGAAAGGCAATAAACTGAACAATGGATTTTATAAACTACATGTCAAGGCTAAGAATCCATTCACGGGCAAACTTTTGCCTATATACATAACAGATCAAGTTGAGTACCCACCAGAATGTGACTGTCATATTGGTATACCAAATGAATCCGAAGTAGATGCTACATTTTCTAAAACTGTAGGGCTTGAATTTGAAATAAATAATATGAAAACTGGAGAGGAATATGCTCAAATTAAAGAGGATAGGTTAAGAAAAGCATTGGAAATGAAAATTGGTGGATATGAAACAAGTTCTAAGTTGAAGGATTGGTTGATATCTCGTCAAAGGTATTGGGGTACTCCAATTCCTATTGTTCATTGTGATAAGTGTGGTTTAGTACCTGTACCTGAGAAGGATTTACCTGTAGAATTACCTAAAATTAGTGGTGCATTAGACAAAACTTCATCTCCACTGAAAGATAATACAGAATGGCATAAAACTAGTTGCCCGGTATGTTTAGGTGCTGCTGTAAGAGAAACCGACACCATGGATACATTTGTGGATTCAGCATGGTATTATTTGAGGTATATTGATAATAAAAATCCAAATGAGCCATTTGATGCATCAAAAGCGAAACAAATTAATCCTGTTGATTTATACATTGGTGGAAAAGAACATGGTACACAATTGCATTTATATTTGTATATAAATATATCTTTTATATATATAAATTTAATTTCAGCTGTATTGCATTTGTATTATGCACGATTTATGAGTTATTTCTTATATTCTATGGGTCTGTTGAGTCATCCTGAACCATTCAAACGATTATTAGTTCAAGGAATGGTTATGGGACAATCATTCAGGGTAAAGAGCTCTGGCCAGTATGTCACAGAGGATCAGGTTACACTTTACTTTTTGTAAATATATATATATATATATATATATATATATATATATATACATACTATACATCTACTTATGGAATACCTATCTTTTTAATAGGTTGACATTATTGATAAGAAAAAAGGCAAAGCAGTTTTAAAAAATTCTGATGAACCTGTAATCATGACTTGGGAAAAGATGTCTAAATCTAAAAAAAATGGTGTTGATCCACAGGCTATGTTTAATGATTATGGGACTGATACAACAAGGTTATTAATTTTAGCGGATGTTGCACCTACATCATTTAGACATTGGACTACAGCTAGTATGAATATATTTCAATAAACACATGATTAGATACTAATCAAGTGTTATTTCAGCATTTCCTGGTATCCTAAACTGGCAAAGACGGTTATGGTTGACATTGCGAGATTTTATCAATCATCGATCAAATTACAAAGAAGTAGATTTTATGGACCCTGATTTTATAGAGCATGAAACTAAATTGTTTGACTCTAGAAATTTTTACGCATCAGGGGCTACTTTTAATTATATTTCTTCTCACCAACTGAGTGTAGCAATATCTAAAATGCAAGGGTTGACAAATTCACTAAGAGTGAGTAAATGATATTGGTTAAAACTATTGGTGGTATGTATATGTAAGTAAAATAATTCTAGAGGGCTATACCACCAGTTATTGCTCAAGGACTGCAGTATGAAAGAGCTTTAGGATGTCAAATTTTACTTTTAGCACCGATGGCTCCACATTTTGCATCTGAATTATGGTCAGGATTTACAAATGTTCCACGATTAGAGCTGACTCAACGAAATTATGGTTCTAAGAATTTGGTAAGTTATTCTATTATATTTGAAATTATATTTTTGTTTGAATATAAGATTTGCAAATGTATCATAAAATCTTCATAGTAACCATTGCAGATTTACTGATTATACTGATATTTTTTTTTTGTTATAGTTCTTATTACATATGCAACAAAATGAATTCGATTACAACAAAAGTGTGTTTGAGCAACGTTGGCCTGATGTAGATCTCCACTATAATCTCGATTTAGCGATAAAGGTTTGTGATATATTTCAAAATTTTTTTTACTATAATTATGATTGTGGCATTCCAACAACATATGCTTGTTTTAGTTTAATGGAGAGGACCACAGTGTAATAAAAATTCCAAGATTTAAGTTAGATGTTTTAGGTGAAGATGTAGCCTTAGAATTAGCAAAAAATGAAAAATCTGTTAGTGAAATGTTAGATACTCTAGGGCTTCGTAAATATACATATCATGTGCATAAGGGATATGAGGCTGAATTGAACTTGATAACAAAGTTTATACCGAAAAAGAAAAAAAAGTCGAAGAAACAAGTAATTTGATAGTTTAGTTGTAATTTTAAGCTAAATATTTATAAACATTGCAATAGACATTCTTAAATATCATAATAAAAATAAGCTTGTACCAGTGATTCATTTCATATTGTTATACATATTTCTCAATATGTCATTTTTCTAAACTTTGTGGGACAGTAATATACCAAGTTCCTTCCGTAATTGTTCATCTCCAATATTTCCATTATGAGGAATGCTTCTAAGCATTTTTAAATAACTGTCTGGTAATCCAGATTCTAACGCTCCTTGAATAATTGTCTCAAGATATATCAAACTAGGCTTCCTATCTTCTGGAAAAGGTTCACCCGGTTGCAACGGAGCAGGCAGTTTACTTTGCTCATATATTCGGCACGATACATTTTCGCCACTCTTAGTTTTGATGTTTACATCTTTAGCAAAGTATGTGTTTAAATGTACACCTTCCTGTCTAATGAAAAAAAAAAATTACTGAACAAGCTCATTTATGAGTCAAGGATGTGTACACAAATTTTAATTTCTACCGCTATATAAAGAATCATTTCTATAATACTTTATATTGAAGTAATATAAGTTCCGTTAAAGCTTAAACTTACTTGTCAAGGCTTGCAAGATTTTTATTATCGATTTCCCATATAGCACCCCAAACATGCTCACCCACTTTTGGTACAACTGTGGCAGACGCACCTCCCCATTTTTCTGAGTATCTATTGAAATCTAAGCAATAATCCTGAAAGATGTATTTAATAATAACATCAAAATGATATATATTAATTATTAAAATACTTTATTGAGTTATTTTAGAAATATTTAAAAATCAAATGATTATGTTACCTTATAGAAATCAACACTTCATAAATAAATAAAACTTCGAAAGATTCAACATTGAAATATGACATGAATCTGTATGGGGTTTTTCAAAAATATTAACAAATCAAAATTTATTCGTTAAATTTAGATTTTATTTAGTTTGCAAATCATCAATCTTATTAACTTTCAATTTTATACTTTTATTATAGCACTTCAGTTATTTGACTATACTTAAAAAAAAAAATGTTTAGGTATAATAAAAATGTGTTTAATAAAAAATTTAGTATCAGATTCAGACTCGTTACTACCATAATTTTGAAGTTGTTTTTATGTTTATTTTATTAATTTTTCAACTAAATAACTACAGAAGCCATATAATTTATATTAAAAAAAATCATTTATATGCAAATTACAAAATGTATTCATATACATTATTTATCAACAATCTATTTTACAAATCACTATAATACAACTCATTTAAAGATATACATAATGTGTATATAGCACAAGTGCTTTAAATAGCATTTTTTAAAAATATATTCATGTTACATTCATACCAATAGCTTTCCAACGTCTTTTCTAACTGCCGAAGGATTATTAATATGAATTCTTTTCGCTAATAAATTACTTCCATACGCGAAGTACAAAAATGTGTTCGGGTTAGGCATCACCACTGATATATAAACAAATTAGTTTTAAAAAAAATGTCAGCTGTTATAGTATATTGAATTATGTTTATTCAATACGACACTTTAATCACAATTCACTTAATTAGCTAAATAGTAAATGGAATAATTTTAATCACGTGTAAAAAGATTGGAATATTTCCACACCAAACCGCTCCCAGAACAAATCGTTTATGTTATGAATTTGACGCACGGAGCTGTCTTATTGACGTACGGTTGATTCGTTCGGTGTTGTTCGATGGTTGTCGGGAATCGAAATGGCGACTGTTGCTTGTCAAATTTTGGCGCGATGTATAAATTCAAACGTTGTCAAAAATGTTGCGCAACTTTATCAAGTTTTGAGAATTTGAATAAAATTCATTTATTACATTTCTTCCTTGCATTTATTATTATTTCATTCAACTTTCTTTCTTTGAAAAAGTTACTTTTTTATTTTTAGATAAATTCCTTAGTTAGTGCTGAAATGTAAAATACATAACGAAAAAATTAATCTAACAATAAGTTTATGTAATTCAATATTAAAACTAGGTGTAAGTGACATTTTGTCTTAAGGCAACTTACATGAACTTTCCTACATATGTAAACAATCTACATACGAGGTGTGTTCAAAAAGTACCCGGAATTACTAATAATTAAATTTCGCGGGTCTGGAGTGTCTGATTGTCAAAATTTTTTTTTTATTGTGTTGGTATACATGCCCCTAAAGTATGATGAAATTTTCAGCTATATTCACTGTTTACTTTGTCTATGGTAGTCGCTAAGGTTCGACGTGTTTTTCTGAGCTCGGCGATTTTTACAATGGAAGAATTGAAAAGTCAAAGAATTTGTATTAAATTTTGCGTAAAAAATGAAATAAAGTGTTGCAAAGTGCAAAAATTCACCAGATATGGCTCCGTGTGACTTTTTCCTATTCCCAAAGTTGAAGAGACCCATGAAAGGACGGCGGTTTTCCTCGATTGAAGAAAATCGCTGAGAGTGCTCAAGGACATATCAAAAAGTGAATATCAAGGGTGCTTCGAAAATTGGAAAAAACGCTGGCATAAGTGTATTATATCTGGGGGGGACTACTTTGAAGGGGACCACATTAATGTAGACGAATAAATAAATATTTTTTTGAAAAAACGAAAATTCCGGGTACTTTTTGAACAGACCTCGTACTTAATAGGAAATCAATATATTAATTTATGAGTGATTTTGAAGTATATCGAGTTGCTGCAAGGCTTATATAACATAAAAAATTATTGTAGGTTTTTCAAGTTTTCTAAACACGTTAGTTATTTTTGATAAATGGTTTTATTACACATTATTGAAAAATCCATACTTTTTTCAAATTTGTTCTCAAACGATTCATAATGACTTGAAACGTCAAGAAAACACAAAATTAGAATTTCTGGATTTTCTGGCGAAAGCATAAACTTCTTATTCGGAAAGGTTAAATAAAAATATAATAAATCCCAAATTAAATTAATAAAAACCTAAATTTTTGTGTTACGATCTCTATGGAAAAAAGTAAACATAATAATACACGCACTCTTTCTGTTTTTATCTAACCATGTAATATTGTTTCATTTACACATCAGATTTTTAATTCTTACATATTATATGTTTATTTTTATTTTTAACCCTTTTAACTCGAATGCCGCCGATATAGTTGTTTGCTCGTTTTTTTTCTTAACGTAAAGTTATATTTGTTTTTAGCAATAACTTAATTATCAATTATTATCAATTGATGTTTTTAATTTTAGCAATAAGTACTCAAGTTTCGGTGTAAGTATTTAACTTCCCGTAGGGCAAGTTATAGTAATCGCAAAAAAATAGAAAATGAAAATTTTTATATATCTTCACGTTTCAAAACCTTCTGAACATTTTGGAATACCTTAGAAAAAATGGATGTATGTGTGTGTGTGCGGATACAAATTTTCGTCGACGATGTCGGGAACACGGATGAAGCGATTTGAATAATTAAAAAAACATTCGATTCGTATTGATAAGGAGACGTGCTGATTAGTTTTTGGCGAAGACAGGTCTAGCCGTTCCGAAGATATGGGGCAAAAAGTGCCAAAAACGGTAACTCAGTTTTTAAGAGAACGGAGCGTCCGATTTGAATAATTTAAAAAACATTTGACTTGTGTTGACAAGATGAAGAATTGATAAAATTTTCACGAAGGCAGATCTAGCGGTTTCGGAGATCTAGTGAAAAAAGTAAAAAAAAATGTGATTTGGCGGTCAAAAATGATCATTAGACATATGCACATCAAATTATCAGATGTTTTATAGAGATTTTAACAATATGTATACATTTTGTTTACATTCCTATGGGTGCCGTACCAATGTTTATCCGTTAGACGGCGACGCGGCGCTTACGCGCTTCGATATTTCGTCTCTATGCAGTTAAAGCAGCACGATTGTTTTAAAAAAGTTCAGAATTTCCATAATATTTCAAAATAAATTTTTCTTCAAAAAGTCTTTTTTTTTCAAAAAAAGGTAAATTTTTGTCAAAAATTTATTGTTTCTCAAAAATCTAATTTTTTCAGAGTAATTTTTTTTCTAAAATGTTTATCTTTTTAAAAAAATATAATTTTTGGTACGGGAACTTCCAGCAATTTCCAGCAATCCTTAAGGCACGGTGCCATGCGCCCCACTAGTTAGTTATATCCAATCATACAGAATTTTTAAATCATATTGATGTAACTATTCATAATTCGATTAATCATATACATTGCATTGTCTATCCAATGAAGTATTGAACTTAATTATCAATAAACATTATCGACAAATTTATTGCTAGTTTGAAGATTTATGAAAATCTTATCAGTGATTTGTCACACAGTATGTCCCGAAATAATAGCACGAACCATAAGTTGTGGAATCTTTCGGTTTACACTGAATAGCACCGATTTCATTATATTTGTTTGAAAAATGATTAGATTTGATTTTTTGATAATCGAAGTGAATGTACTTTAGATTCTGTAAATTGTAATTGTTTTTATGATTATTTTTGACCAAAGTAGATCGTAAATGGAAATTGCGATGCATAAATTATTTTTTATAATTATTTAATTTAAATTATTTTTTCTCATAGAATCATTAGATTGAGTAAAATGTATACATAAAATATTTTATAATATGTTTACTCAGTTTGAGTAGCTTTGTTTCAATTTTCTATCTCCAAGAGGCTGATGTTTTCTAAAATAAAGTTTGTAGCTGCTGGTTCAATAAAATATATGCACGCTTGTAACCTTGATCCCAATTTTCCTAATCACCGACTTACACGTTGAGCGCTAGAAAACATTTAGAACGGTTCAGTTATTTCATAGTTTTAAAAGAGTAACTAGTGGTGCATGGCATCAACGAAACGGAACTACCCGTACCGTAATTTAAAATTTTGAAAAGTTTTAAAATTTCTTAATAACTTAAAAAAAGATTTTTGAGAATTAAAATTTTTGAAATAAATGGACTTAAAATTTTTTATATTTTTTTTACAAATTTTGATTATTTTTCAAAAGAATTTCGTTTCGGAATCGAATGCTTTTTGGTCATTCAAATCATTTGATCCGTGTTTTTTCGAAATCGTCGCCAAATTTTTTTTATATTGTTCAAAACTCATACATTCATACATATATGCATACACACACATTTATACATACATTCACACATGTATATATCCATTTTTTCCAAGGTATTCCAAAATGTTCAAAAGGCTTTGACACGTAAATACATATAAAAATGTTAATTTTTGCTTTTTTGCGATTAACCAACGGGATGTTAATTAGTAGCAGTTTTTTTAAAATAATGTAAGTCAATATGATCAAAATTTATAAGATCTGAAAGATATACATTTTTTTTTCGATTATAGTATCATAATAATATAATTTTGAGAACTTACCCTTCGTTAATTTAATAATAATTATAAAAAGTTTAATCGTTTTGTTCTTGTTCTTGAATTTTCAATTGTCTGATTTATTATGCTGGTTTATTAATACATATATAAATATATAAATTTATAATATGTTGACCGTCGATAATATATATGTTGAGAGTCGAAAGCATTAATTTCTGAAATTTCCTTGAGTTGAATAGAATTAAAAAATGTTTGCCAGCTGCTTTATTACAAAAGCGAGTGCACTTGCGCCGTTGTGTAACAATATACGAAATTTTAGATAATTTCTATCTAATGAAATATCTTTCAACAAACGATAAAATTCACATGTGCTAGCAACTTATCTTTAGTAGAATTTTTAAAGATTACTTATTGTTAGTACTTATCTCTGGTTGAGGAGATACATTAATTCTATTTATAACAGATGTACAAACATATGACATTTTTAAAATTTCATTCAAGATCTAGATGAGGTTCTACCGTGTTTATTTAGTGGCACTTTAATAAATATTTGTTTAAAGAATTATTTTTCCTCGAGATATTCATGTTATACGTGAAGTGACTTGTTCAATCTTTGTTTTGGTTCTCAGAAAATTTATTAATGTTATTTCAGTTTAATTACAAATTACATAAAACTTAATAAACTGTTTTTAACTTATTAGAGGAAACGTTTAGGTTTTTACCAGAAAATACGATTTTCCAACGTTTTCGTCCAAAATCCTGTTTGAGTAATTCACAACCTTTGCGAATTATATGATTTGGATATTGTGATTATTTGCTCTTGTTAAAGATCGTCTTCGTAAATAATTGTCCATTTTCGTTAACGAATTTAATTATTGACGATTACCGAACATTCTAAAATATTATAGGTTTACGAGAAGTGTTTGTAACTTCCCGTGGGGTAGGTTATAGTGTTCACAAAATAATGAAAAATGAAAATGTTCATATGTCTTTACGTTTTAAGGGTTTTTGAACATTTTGACATATCTTAGAAAAAATGGATGTATGTGTGTGTGGACACAAATTTTTTTCGATGAAAAAAAACTTTCGGTATGAATATTGATTTATTTTCGTTTTTCTTCTGATAGCGATGTCGTAAAAATTAAAGTGATGACTGGTTACACATCTTTTGCCTTCTACTTAGTATCACTACAAAATTCTATACTTTGCTTTTTTTTGATGGTGGAACTTTTTACCGCTGACCTTTATGCAACGTCTTTTTTTAATTCCAAAAATTTGAAAGCCCATTTATATACTTCAAATAAATAATTTTAAGTTTACAATTCTATATACGCTATTCTAAACTGATT